TTTTTATTAACATTTTTTTGTAGCAATATAATTTATCAGCATTTCGACTTTAATATATACAAATTTTGTTTCATATATGCCATAACAATCCATTCTTAATTCTATATTTAGAAACTGTCTTTCACTACTAACTTAAATCTAAGAGATTTCCTAATTTAGCATCCCTTATTTTTTTATTTGTTATTAATAAAAAAATTTAGATATAATTTATTTATTTCTTAAACTCATTACTTTAAGCAATTTCCATTTTTTTCATTGTTTTTTTTTTTTTTTAAATTTTTGAATGCGCAATTATAGTTTAACTATAGATTGTTAAGAATTAATTTTGAATGATGATGTAGTACTATGTGGACAGCCATAGACGTTATGTTTGGTCACTATGACATATTTTTTTAATCTCTTTAATACTTTCCCAATTAACAAAAATATTCTACAAAACTTTTCTAATATATCCGTAAACTACAAGGTGTTACTGGTTTATGATTTAACTAGAGTTTAGTGACTTAAAATGTTGTGTAGAATCTGTTGTTTTTGCCCAAAAAAAAATCTGTTGTTATTCAAATAAGATTTTTAAAATTTTTGTCAAAGTTTGATGTTATTAATTTAAAATTTGTAAAAGGTAATCTAAAATTTTCATAAATTTTAATTTATTGGATTCATATTTTTTTAAAATAAATTTTGGTAGAATATTTTTATATTAAATAATTTAAAAAATAATACCAAAATATAGCTGGTACAAATCTCGGATAAAGTACAAAAGTATGGGCTACCATTTTATTGACCAACCATATAAGAAGAAAACAAATATACATATGTGATGTGGTGATGAATGTCATTAATCAACCAATAATGCGAACGTAATGTCATAAACACGTGAACGTTACCAATGAAACAAGCCTGTCACATAACTAGGTCACAGTCCCGTAACACTTCCGTAGTCGCCGAGGAGAAAATGTCTAGGGAGTCCCCTTTTGTATAACTCTAACCTCTTAATGAAATGTGACTTGACGATTTTACCCTTTCTCTTTTTTATTCATTTTAATTAATTATTTTCTGAAATGAAAAAAAAAAAATCGAAAACAGGCAAAAAAAAAAAAAACGTGAGAACGCTCCTCTCAGCTCGAGCTCGAGCTCTCCTCGCCGGAAAATTCGATTTCAGTCGCCATTGCAGGCGTATCCTCTCCTCCGGCGAGCTGCGTCGAGATAGAGAGAAAAGGTATGTTGTTCGAGCTACATAGAGCTTCAAATTGAAGTTTTGGATTTAGAAATGTAGGAGATTCAATTCAATTAGATTTGGGTTATTGTGTTTGGGTATGTACATTGGAAGTTTATGCATAGTTTCTGGGTCGAATAGGTCTGTAAATGGGTAAGAAATGGATTACAGCAACTGAATCATAGTGAATTGTAGTTTTGAACCCGAAACCATTCGATTTGAGTTCTTGTCGCGAAAGTACAACTGGTATAACTGGGTAGAAATGTACCTGAATCTATTGAAAAATATATATGTAGTATTACTAGTTATACTAATATTACCCAGATGTATGTAGTATGACTAGTTATACTAGTATTACCCAGAATTGTAGTACAACTAGTACAACTAGTATAACTGACAGAGTTTTTGTATTGTTTTTGCAGGATACAATGATGGAGAACGTGAACATATATTTTAAATGCAAAGGTCGCATGTATAGCTTGATGATGAATACATCAGGGGGGGAAATAACTCTCTCCATGTTAGAAGGTAGGATATGCACGAAGCTTGGATTAGATGAAAGTAAGGTTAAATTGCAAATGAGGTACAATGCAGTGCTAATGGGACCAATTGAAGAGATTTACATTAGTGATGATGAGGATGTAGGTGTCTATATATCTTCAGGTGAAAATAACCGTAGATATGTTTTGAATGTGGACGTCATCACTCCACCAGAATTGCCCGAGCAACTGTCGAGAGCGGAGCTCCTCAATAAAAGTTCTGTTGGTAAGAACTATGCGGAATTAGATTCAAATGAGGATGAAATGACTGATAGTGCTGCCATCGTTTTGTGCGAATGCGATGAACAAGGAACAGAACGAAATGAGGCAATAATGGAGGTTGATGATACTCAAGATCCTGAGATTGGATCACGTGATGAATCTATGGATAGATGTGATGATAGGGGTGATGAATACGTTGAGCCCCCGCCTGTTGTAGAGCCTGGTCAGTTTAAAAAAGAATGGGAAGACGGTATTGAACTGATTTTACGACAAGAATTTCCAAGCAAGGCGGCATTGCATGAAGTGGTGGACAAAGGTGCATTTGCTAACAGTTTTGGTTATATTATTAAAAAGTCTGAAAAGGAGCGGTATGTCCTAAGGTGTTCTAAAGAAAGTTGTGCTTGGCGTATACGAGCTTCAAATATTCGGAATACAAGTATTTACTCGATTAGAAAGTACAACAAGATGCATACTTGTACCCGGATAAGTAAGAGTAGTACAAGGATGAGGAAGAGGAAAGGTACCCCTGAATTAGTAGCAGCCCTTCTTCATGATACTTTTCCAGGACAAATGGAAACTCCAGTTCCTAAGGTTATCATGGAGCTTGTACAGACGAAATTAGGTGTGAATATATCGTACTCCACCGCATTGAGAGGGAAAAGGCAAGCCATTTGTGATTTAAAAAGTAGCGCGGAAGATAGCTACAAGGATATAAATTGTTATTTGTACATGTTGAAGAAGGTAAATGAAGGTACAATAACATATCTGAAATTGGATGAGGAAGATAAATTTCAGTACCTATTCATAGCTTTGGGAGCTAGCATTGAAGGCTTTCAAGTGATGAGGAAAGTGATAATTGTTGATGCAACACATTTGAAGAACGGATATGGTGGTGTTCTAGTATTTGCCTCAGCTCAAGACCCAAATCGTCATCATTATATCATAGCGGTTGGCGTACTCGACAGTGAGAATGATGCTAGTTGGGGATGGTTCTTCGAGAAGCTGCTAACAGTTGTACCCGATACTCCAGAATTGGTATTTATGAGTGACAGAAATTCAAGCCTCATCAAAGGCATACGTAATATGTATTCCGTGGCTCATCACGGGTATTATGTTTGGCATTTATCCCAAAATGTGAAAGGTCATGCCACTAACGTTAACAGAGACGTAGTTGCATGGAGATTCATGGAGTTAAGTCGGGTTTACACCCATGGCCTGAATTCGGGAGGGGGTACAGAACTTTTAAGCTAAGATATCCTTCTACGGCCAATTATTTGGAGGATACAACCGTGAAAGAAAAATGGGCTAGGTGTTGTTTCAGAGGATATCGATACAATTTGGACACAAGCAACTGTGTGGAATCTTTGAATTCTGTTTTCCTCAATGCAAGGAAGTATTCTTTAATACCCATGCTTGATGCGATCTTGTCCAAGATTTCTGGTTGGTTTAATGAACATCGGAAAGAAGCCGCGTCAGGATCTAATGAGAATAAGTTGGTGCCTTTAGTGGAGAAATACTTGCATGATTTATGGGTTGAAGCTGAGAAACTAAAAGTGACGGAGCTAAACACATTCCAGTTTGAATACAATGTCAGGGGTAGTTAAGGGAAAGAATATTTTGTCAACTTGCTCTTGAAAACTTGCAGTTGCAAGGTGTTCGATATCCAAAAGTATCCTTGTGTGCATGCACTAGCCGGTTTCATTGCCTTCGAGAACGATACAACAAGAACTCGAAGTATGGAAATACATGAATTGGTTTCAAAGTATTATTGGGCGGAGATGTGGGCATTGGCGTATTATAGGACTATTTATTTAGTCCCGGATAAGTCACAATGGGATATCCCAGATGACATCAAAGCATTGAAGGTATTACCTCTGCCTCGGAAAAAGAAGAAGGGTAGAACAAAAGTGTTGAGGTTTCCATCCACAGGGGAAAGGCGTCCAAAACGTCAAAGGACTCAAAACAAAAGGAGGCCGAGGCAATCGCTGCAATGGTTGTTATTTGGCAACCATAGTATTTGATTTCATGTTTTTATGTATTCTCTGGTTTTGTATAACTTGGTAAAACTTGGTTTCGTAATGGTACAACTATGTATGTCTTTGATTTCGTATTTTTATGTATTTTCTGGTTTTGTATAACTTGGTAAAACTTGGTTTCGTAATGGTACAACTATGTATGTCTTTGATTTCGTGTTTTTATGTATTCTCTGGTTTTGAATAACTTGGTAAAACTTGGTTTCGTAATGGTACAACTATGTATGTCTTTGATTTCGTATTTTTATGTATTCTCTGGTTTTGTATAACTTGGTAAAACTTGGTTTCGTAATGGTACAACTATGTATGTCTTTGATTTCGTGTTTTTATGTATTCTCTGGTTTTGAATAACTTGGTAAAACTTGGTTTCGTAATGGTACAACTATGTATGTCTTTGATTTTGTAAAACTTGGTTAAACTTGGTTTGGTATAACTATGAAGAAATTAACAAATCTTCATAAATTCAAAATTATATCATGGTGAATGTCGAAAGTCTGAAAAATAGACAACTTAGTGTTACATAATCAAATTAATGGTTTGTAATCAAAATTTGGTAAATAAAATTTTCAAAAATCTTACACATTTGAACTTTCTACATGAAAGTTCTTATACTTTTAAGATGTCTTTCTTTTGAATATTCATGGTGAATGTTGAAAGTCTGAAAAATAAACATTTTATACATATTATTGAATGAATATGTTTGGAATTTACCACATATACATAAAATCATGTGTACAACTAAAAAAAATTAATATTAATCCAAGAATAACTAATTATACAGAAAAAAACCCCAAAAGTCCAACTGTGTGTAACCGAGTACAACTTGTAAACTTGGAAAAACTGTGTATATTTGACGGCGCCATGTGTACAAATGACGGCGCCACGTGTACAAATGACGGCGCCATGCGTTTCACGTGTTATTTGCCCCAAATATCCAAAAAATTTTCTCTTCCCTCCAAAATACAAAAAATTTTCGAATTAACCCAATTTCTTTTATTTTTCCCCAAAAATCATTTCAACCCCTTAATTTATTACCCAGCATTTCCACGAAATCCCCCAAAATCCTCCCAATTACATCTCAATATCTCCAATTTATTATCCAAACCCACCAAATCCCTAAATCTTCTTTAACCCCAACCCCACCAAATCCCTAAATCTTCCATATAAGAAAGATGAGCCATGTCTCTTCCGCTCCGAGCTCGAGTGAAACCTCCTCAAACCGAACAAGAGTAAGAGTTGCTGGGATTCCAAAGAGGTGTAGGTGTGGCGACGAAATCGTTTAAAAGATCTCTAAATCAGTCCCAAATCCTTACCGCCGCTACTACCGATGCAAATATGCTTCTGATAGAAACGTAAAAGTCTCATTGTAAGTTTGTGAATATTTTGAATAAGATCACGTTCTTTTAATTCTATTTTAATTTTTGAATGTAGCTTATGAACGATACCCATGTCTTCAAGTGGGTGGACGAGGCATTGGTAAATGAGGTAGAACAGTTGGATTTTCAAGTTAGTGTTCTTGAAGAAGAAGTTGCACTGCTAAAGATGGGGAGAAAGAAAGAGACGAAGGAAATTACTAAGATGATGGTACCCTTTATCGTTGGTTTTTTTCTCACAGTTGTTCTTGTAACTTGGTACAACTAAGGTACTACTTTGTAGTTCTACTTGTCTCAAAAATATGTATTTGGTGAATATGAGTATTTGTATTTGTATGACTAAACATATTTATCCTAGTAATTTCTATCTATTCCTACCGAGTTTAACAAAAATAAAGCAGTTGTACACATTTAATAAAAATACCAATGAACAAACGTACATAGTTTTACCTAGTTTAACAAAATAATGCAGTTGTACATATTTATCGTTCACAGTTGTACTTAGTTTTACAAAATTATACCAAAATAAAACAATAATCATTTTGTTCACACAATTGTACCTAGTTTTTCAAAACCGACAGAGTTATACCAAAATAAAACAACAACCAAATTCATATTCATGACAAAATAAAACATCTTAAAGAGTTTTCAAAAACAGTAGTGGACTCCAATACACAATGGTACTTAATTCTTCTTAGTCCTCGTCACAATAGGACTCCGATGCACAACAGTGGTAGACCCCTACTTCGCATTCTTCTTTATCAACTTCACCCTCTTAGTGTCCTCTTGCCTTGGTTCATCAACATTGTCATCCGCCTTTTTCCCTTGTTCTTTTGGATCCACTTCATTTTTGCTAATTCTTTTTCTCTTTTCACATCTCTTGTAAGTCCTTTTAAGCATCTTCTCATTTTTACTTGGCTCATCCTCTTTTCCAATCTCTTTCTCTTTCTCTCCAACCTCACTCCCCTTAGTACCACCGTCCACATCACCCTCTTTTCCAATCTCCTTCTCTTTCTCTCCAACCTCACTCCCCTTAGTACCACCATCCACGTCACCCTCTTTTTCAATCTCTCCTCCTTCTCTGGCCTCAACCTCTTTAAGACCACCATACATCATCCTCTATTTCCATCTCCGACTCCATCTCATCATCTTCAGCCCTTTCTTTTTCCATCTCCTTCTCCATCACTTTTTCACCACCTTCATTCTCCTTGGTTAACTCTTCAGAATTTGGTCCATCCTTACCACTCTCATCTTGAACTGCATTCACTTGTTTTGCTCCAACCTCATCCTCTTTATCACTATAGTCAACCTCAACATTCCCAACTGGATTTATCTCCGCCTCTTTCTCTTTAGCACCACCACTTTTAACTCTGACTTGGATTGATTGGATTGTTGCTTCTATAGTTTTGAGTCTTGTATCTTGGTCTTCATACTTTTTACTGAGATCCATCATCTTCTCATGCATATCCTTAAATCCATTCTCCAACGTTGTCTTCAACGTGTACACAAGCTCAGCCAATCCATCACTACTTGCATCATTCGGAGGCTCAGTCACTTTCTCTTTGCCTTTCTTTCCCCGACGGCCTTTTCTTGTAGGCATAATCACAGCTTCCTCAAATGTTCGGTTGCCTACATCTTCATTGAATTTCTCTTCAAAACATATACTCCTTCCCTCATCAACTAGACGCTTGTGCCAACCATCAGCAACTACATCATCTTTATCATTCCATCCACGCTCAACATCCATAATGCTTTTCAAAAGTTCTTCCTCATCAGGAGATGGAGTCAAGATACTTTGAATGTCCTGTGCATCATAAAAAAATCTAATTAATACAACCTCCATGACACATAAATAATAAACATGTTATCTAGTTTGCATTTCAGATTTTAACTAACCTTAGTTGTACCGAGTTTGTCATACACATCTGACATAGGAAAACCTTTCATAGTACTTGGTTTAAACTTCGTCTTGCACATCCGAGGACACTTAGGTTCTGCTGATCCCACATCGACGCAAAAAGTGTTCTTCAGAACTGGAATTGACTCAAACGCTAGAAGTTGCAAAAAATAAAAGATCATTCAAAACTAAGTTGTATAACTGCTAATATACTCTTACTTATACCAAGTTTATAAAAATTTAATAGATGAATAATGCATACCTCCAGAGGCATAACGAAACTAGGAAACACTTTCTGTGTTAACCTTTCATAGTACTTGGTTTAAACTTCGTCTTGCACATCCGAGGACACTTAGGTTCTGCTGATCCCACATCGACGCAAAAAGTGTTCTTCAGAACTGGAATTGACTCAAACGCTAGAAGTTGCAAAAAATAAAAGATCATTCAAAACTAAGTTGTATAACTGCTAATATACTCTTACTTATACCAAGTTTATAAAAATTTAATAGATGAATAATGCATACCTCCAGAGGCATAACGAAACTAGGAAACACTTTCTGTGGACCAACAACTCCTTCACATTTTTCCAGTATATAGAAGATGTCTTTCAGATTTTCATCAAATGCATATCTCCCCCACGGGAATGTTTCGCACAAGTCTAGATCAGCCACAGCCCTTTGGAAAAACTTCTCCACAGTTGGTGCCTTCTCTCCTGTCTTAGTCTTTCCAACGATGATGCTGCTTAAGAAGTACAACACAGCTACTCTCAAACGATCATCAGAAGATCTCTTCATTGATAGGAACTTTTCCTCCATATCTTGATATTTTATTGTTGCTCCAACTCCAAATTAACTGCCAACAAACTCCATACTGCCCTTGGTTTCATAGGACTTCGGAAATTGGTGACAATATAATCCTGACATGAGAGCAAATTCTTTGAGAGAATAGCGGATCAGAACCCCGTTGACGATAAACCAAACTTCGCGCTTCTTCTCTAAACATGCTGTGCGAAGAAATAACAGCCACATACCCATCAACTTATGATTTGCGTTCCTGTGCATGTGGAAGAAGTGTCGGAACTGTGGGTGTTCCTTAAACCATCTCAACTCCTTGCCTCTAAGATGAGTTTCCAATAAGCCCACTACCTTATGAATATAGCACTTTGCTGAAATCTTGAATGGCTTTGTATACTCACTCGGACTGAAGTACATTTTAAAAGGTTGTAGAGCTTCGGTTTCCTCATTAGAATCCTGCAATCAATATGGACCAAGTTATACACAGTTGTACCTTTTAGTTTTAAAACTTTCTAAGTTAGAAAAACAGAATAGTTATACCAAGTTATTCATAGTTTTACCTTTTAGTTTCAGATATTTCTAAGTTATAAAAGCAAAAGCAGCATAGTTATACCTAGTTATTCATAGTTTTACCTTTTAGTTTCAGATATTTATAAGTTATAAATGCACGTTAGTTATACCTAATTATCATAGTTTTACCTTTTAGTTTCAGAAATTTCTAAGAGACACAAGCAACAAACTTATACCTAGTTCTGCTAGTTGTCCAAATTTTAGAGATCTTACCGTTGCAACCACGTTAGAGATTGAATCTGTTGCTTCAGATTCCACTACCGCCGGCGGTGGCACTTCTTCAAGATTGGCTCTTACCGTTGCAACCACGTTAGAGATTGTATCTGTTGCTTCAGATTCCACTACTGCCGGCGGTGGCACTTCTTCAAGATTGGCTTCTGGCGGAGTCTCCGTTAAAGATACATTTGCGTTCTTTGTTCGAGGCATAACTCCCTTCCACAAACCTACAAACAAAATCATTTAGATTAGTACTTCCATTCAATATTTCAATCGATTCTATTACCACTAACATTCTCCATCTCTTCGGATTTTATACAAACATAACGAACAATCGATTTTCGTAGACTTTCACTCGATTTCAATCGATTTCAATCGCAAAACCCAAAATAAAAACTCGATTTTACCTTGCCCAATAACGTAGTTGTTTGTAGTTATACCAAGATCGACTCTGAAGAAATAGAAATAAATCGATCTGTAGTTATACCAAGATCGCCGTCGAAAGCAGATTTTTCTCCGAAGGAATGAACCCTAAGTGTTTTCCTCGTGTTTGGTTTTTACCCGATCTGAATTATTCAAGTCTAAGTGTTTTTACCTGTTTTAATTAGATTCGACCCAATAAAAAAGGGTTTGGGTATTTTCAACCCAATTAGCTTGGTTGGATTTTGTAGTTTTCTTGTTTTGTCTGGGGTAAAGAGGTAATTACATTCAATTTCAATTTAAAATTAAATACAAATATAATTCTGTTTTTTCGAGGGAGATATGGGATTTGTATTTGTCAAAAGGGGACTCCTGGGACGTTTTCTCAGTCGCCGAGTATCTTTATTTTCTTTCATTAACTCACTTCTGTTAGAAATTATATGGATAATGATTATCCATTTCTATAGCTTTGTCCCCAAGTAACTTAGTTCTAGCTTATCTTCTTTGTAGCTTATCCATATTAATTTTCTTTAGCTTAGGCACCAAGCTATTGTACTATATATATGTGTAAAGTTTAGTCGATGGAAATAACAAGAATGAGTTGAGAGAGAAAGTAAATAAAGAGTGAAGTGTGTTCTCTCGTCCACTTCCCTCTCCCTCTCTTAATTATTTCTTTACAGCCATACATATATAATACAATAATATTATATTTGTTTGCGTTATATTTTATAACACGTTATCAGCACGATGTCTTTACCGCTAGAGCGTTTATGAGGTACATTATAATTTTTGTCATTTAAATTCATTTTTGTTTGTAGAACAGAAATTTTATAGACATCGTGAGACTGCCTTTTTTCCGGTTTGATCGTTATAAATGGTAGGCTCTGCTTTCTTTACGATCAAATAAAAAGCTATGTCTTTTCCGGATAGATCGTTATATATGGTAGGCTATTCCTCCTTTACGATCAAATAAATGGCTATGCTTTTTCCGGATTGATCGTCATATATGGTAGGTTTTACCTTCCTAACGATCAAATGAAAATTTATATTTTTCCAGATTGATCGATATATATGGTAGGCTCTGCCTCTTTTTCTACGACCTAACAAAAGCTATGCCTATTGAATTCTTAATGGAAGGCGATGCCTCCTGAATTCTTATATAAAAAGGCTTTTGTGTCTATATTATTAATTTTATGAATTTCTGTGTTTAATTATTTTTATTTATTTTATCCATAAAGAATAAATATATGTGTTATATGAGATTTAAAGACTTTGAAATATGTCTTTAAAATCAAAATTATATTTCTCTTATGAGAATATATAAAGCACGTGTCAAAATATTTTTAGACAGTGCAAAATAATTGGAAGGTCTAGATGAGGTAGTCTCTCGACTTCCAAATGCATCAGATTCATAATAATCGATGCTTTGTGTACTCCAAAGTCTCAAAGAAACTCGTGTAGTTTCTAAAATATTTTTCTTTATAATTATTATTATATTGAGACTATAAATAAATGTGGTATTGAATGTCCGACCACAATGGAGACACGCAAATGTATGATTATATCATGCAAAAAATAAAGATGGAAAAATTATTTATAATAGTATACTTAGTTTACTAATGCTTTAGGCATAGCATAACCGGTCAAGCTATCCCGGTAGAAAAATGCATTTGATGATAATGATCCAGATCCAGGATCCATATCAGTGCTAACAAGGGCCTGATTAAAAAAAAGTGCAATATATTGAATTGCTCTTCCTTAATAAAAGAGATGTCGTTGGATCTCTTGTCACTACATCTAAATATATAAAACCTACTGGGTGCAAGTGGGTCTTCGTGCGAAAAAGTTGAAATTACACGATATAAAGCCCGACTTGTTACACAAGGTTTTTCTCAAAGACCTGGAGTTGATTATGAAGAAACTTATTCTCCGGTCATGAATACAATTATATTCAGGTACACAACGAGCCTAACGGTCTCTTATCATTTAGAATTGTACCATATGGATGTAGTGACAACATGTTTATATGGATCTTTGGATTTAATATATACATAAAAATCCTAGAAGGATTTAAAGTTCCTGAGCCATTAGACTCTAAGTCTAATGAAATATGTACGGTCAAATTACAGCAATCACTTTACGGATTAAAACAATCCAGACGCATATAATCGTTTAAGCGATTATTTATTAAAGAAAGGATATGTTAATAATAAAATATGCCCTTGCGTCTTTATTTAGAAATCTCTTTCGAGATTTGTGATCACTGCTGTATATATTGATGACCTAAATTGGAACTCGAAAAGAGTGATTAAATATCACTAAAATTTTATGTAAAAAAAGAAAAGCCTATTCAAGCAGTACATGCTTCCGTCCACATTTCAGAGGTAACATTTAATTTACGTTGAATTTATTTAAATTTATTTAATTTTATATTATATAAAGAGTTAAAGGTTATATACCTTCTCCTTAACTCTGTAGTAGGCTATGCCTCCAGAATTATATGGTCGTTGGCCAAATCACCATTTTTCTTTGATAAGCTCATTATATAATGGTCATTTTCCGTAATATTTCTCCCAATTAAGCCCCGAATATAACCGATTCGGTCCAAGATAAATAGGCTTGAAAAGCCATCATCTTAGGAGGGGTTATTACAAGTCTCACATTTTTATAAGGATCTAAGAATAAATACATGATCCATATTGGATATGTTATTGATCCTAAAGTGGGATTCAGTTCGAGATGAATGAACTCGAAGAGTTATCATCTCGAGGGGGAGAATTAAAGGAATCCCACATCGACAATAAGTCGATAAATTTTGGTGAGTTTGACACCCAGAGCGAAATAACTCTGGTGAAGTCATATCCTAAAATTGATCACTTTTTGATAAAGTGGAACATCTAAAAATGATGTTCACTCTCAAAAAGAGCTTTAAGTGAATCGTCCATAGTGCAAATCCAAGAGATTGCAAAACGATTCATGGTGATTTAATCTTCATGTTTTTACATGCAACATGCAGTTTTGCATATAGTAATGATTATATATAAGGCCAACGATTTATAAGAAATATTTCTCCATTGTTATATATACATGATTGGAGATCAAATGTTTTTAATTTTGAATTTTATGGGTGTGAGGTATATGTTATAAATGCTCCTCTGCATCGCATAAAAATATCATCCAAAAAGGATGAAATATATATATGCAGGAGATGAATCTATGCTCTACAAATACTGAGCCATCTCATGAGAGATGTGCCTATTGCAAGATTTGCAAATCATCATGTTGATGATAAAGTTCCCCATCATTATGGGAGAATCATTGAATAGTTCAGATCTTTGAACAAATGACTATAATAAATATGAACTTAAGAGTTCAAAGTTCAAATAGATCACTATT